TCTCATGGTCAGTAGGAAGGCAGGCTTGGACAAATCTCTAGTCCCAGGCCCTCAATAAACCATGGAAAATTTATGGCTCAGGAATTTTGTGACTTGTCACAAAGAATAAAGTTGGGATTAGAATTCTGGTGTTCCATGCCAGAATAGAAAGAGCTATGACATGGGAAAAGAGGGTAAAAGAAAGCAAACAAATGAGAAGAGACAAGTGCTTCTAGAACAAAAAGAAATAACACATGTTTGTGTGTGTGTGTGTGTGTGTGGTGTTTATGTTGGGGTGTAGTGTTGGGAGTGTAGTGTGGAGAAAGGCAGAAGGTGAGAATGACAGGGAGTGGAACAGAGGGAAGGAAAAAAAGGACAGATGGGAAGCAATCCATGAAAGTCAAAAACCTCGAGTCAGACAAATGTTTATTTTATTTAGTGTTGATAACAGGAAAAAATGCGATGGAAACTCCATGTAGTAGAGGCTAGTGCCAGCTCGCCTGATTCCAGTGGGAAGTGCAAGAATGGCCCTCCACCAAGCAGGGCGGGCCTCAACTTGGCTACCAAGTATGCTTACCTGAAGAGCTGCTGCAGCGGCCAGAGACCAGAAGTAGAAACTTGCTGGCTGTTTCCCTTCTCGGCACTGCAGAGTCATGGTCTGCGAAATGAGTACAATCATTCCTTCTATGCCCACCTTCCACAGTCACTGCAAAGATTTCAAAATGGAGTAAAAGGGGCCAGAATCACCGTCCTGCCTAAAGAAAGCAACAAAGACAAACAGATAATATATATGAAACTGCAGTTTCAAGACAATGCCCATCAGAAACCAAAGTGTTGTGATCCGAGAGGGATGAGACACACCTACAGTGAGTCCTATGCATATCCCAGCTACATGCCTAGACTTTCTGCCTACCCTGCAAACAGCAGAAGCCGGATGGAACCTGGCACACTCCCTGATTGGAAGAGATGGAACTCAAAGCCTACGGAGACCAGGGTGGCTGGAGTTCACACAGAGAATACAGAGACAGAATCCCAAATACATCCAGAGAACCCTAGAATATTCAACAGAGTTCTGAATAAGACACACACACACACACACACACACACACAC